TTAAACTTCAGTCAACGCACAAACAAAATCGTAACGTAGTATGCTTTTGTTACGTTACGATTTTCTCTGTGCGTTGACTGAAGTTTAAGATTACGTACGAGTTTAGGTTTAGAATCAGTTCTTAACGTAACGTAATACATTACGGAAAAGTTTGTGCGGTGGTCCTAAACCCTGTATCAGACTACGCATTGAAGATTGAGATTGAAAATTCAAGATTGAAATTTGACCAATCAGGATAAAGAAATTTTAGCTCCTTTTGTTCTGATTAGTCAAATTCCAATCTTTAATATTCAATCTTCAATTTTTAATGCGTAGTCTGATACGGGCTTAAGGGTCCGGCACATAAAAAAACTTAAGCAGTAAACTTAAGGCCGGTATTCATAGTCAGTTCTTATTTCAAGACCGTCTTAAGTAATGTCTTAAGATGCTAATACGGCTCTGTGATTGGTTTAGGACATCTTAAGATTGTGCTTAAGACGGTCTTAAATATAAGAATTGACTATGAATACCGGCCTAAGGGCCGTGGCACATAAAAAAACTTAAGCAGTAAGGGTGCAAACCCATGCAGCGAAATAGCGTAACGCGGAACGAGAGCATGACCAATCGTGAGCGTTCTGCAGTTTTCGCTACGCTCACGATTGGTCCTCTCTTGTTCCGCGTTACGCTTTTCCGCTGCCATTGGTTTGCACCCTAAGACTTAAGACGTAAAACAAGGAGCACACACTTTTGCATAAGCGCATAATCATAAGCATAAGGAAATTGATTGGTCCATTTCCTTACGACCGTCTGGACCAATGAGCATCGAAATAAAATCGCCATATTGATTTACATAGCACGCTCATTGGTCCAGACGGTCTTATGCTATGCATATGCAGCTATGCCAATTTATGTGTGATAGCCTATAGGCTTTAGTGCCGGTCTACAATAGGCGATTTAAGCCCTAAAGCCTTATGACTTAACCTCTAAACTGTGACGTATTTTCGGCCTTAAACATTTTTCGCGCTGCCTTAAGTCCTAATCTCTAAGCCCTAAGCGAGTTGGCCAACTCCCATCTTTTAAAGCTTAGAGCTTGAGGCTAGGATCGGTGTAATTTTTCTCTTAAAACAGAGGCTAAATCTTAAATCACCTATTGTAGACCGGCACTTACTGCTTAAGTTTTTCTATGTGCCACGGCCCTAAAGGCTGATTTATGCAGGCCGTAACTGTTAATTTATGCCGGAACCGTTAGAGTTTAACGGATGCGATCGTTGAGAGATAAATCTAGACAAGGAGCGACAATCGCATGCTGTCCTTGTTCTTCTAACGCAGTGCTCGGAGATAATTGTCCTTTTCGGGCCGATTCCGTGGCTCACGCCTATTGCCCCCCACTCACCGCTCGTGCGTTAGCGACGAGTCACCAGACACGCGTAACTAAGGAGCGCGACGTTTTGTCTCAGGAGCGTCCGTATATAAGAATGCCCAAATATAATAATAAGACAATACTTTTCTGTCCAACCAATTGGTTTATATATAATAGTAATGTTGTAAAATATTGACAGATAATAACTGACTATGCATTGCGATACAAACAAATTTTACCAACATGACGTTCGATTTCATATGTGTAAACACAATGACTTCACTTAAAATTCAAAGCCAATGGACCACATGAGGAGCACATTTGCGACTGTTGATAGAGGTGATGGATGCCATATGTACGTTGTATTAATCAAACCATGAGGTATGATTGATCTTGCGCCAGGCGCCATATTGTTAATTTTTTGAGTGGCTGAGGAGACACAAGTAGAGTGTCGAAACGTCCCACAATTTTTATGTAATAAAGTTAAAATTAAAACCATATTGTTCATCCATATATTGCTCGTAAAGGCCTTATTTATTTATTTATATTTTTTGTAGAAAGTCTACTCCTAGGATTCCTTCATAATCAATTGGGAAGTCGTCCTTCACGATATAAATTGAGTGCCGTATTTTTCGGTTCTTCAGGATTATCGTTGCCTTGATTTTTCCTATTGTATTCATTTTGTGTCCTGTAACTCCAGTGAGTGCCATTTGCTCCTCGTAAATCATGGTTTCTCCTTTTAGATTTCTTAACTTCATTAATGTAACCGTTGCTCCTGTGTCAAACAGTAGGTTTAATTTCCCTTTTTTAACTTCCTGGATGGGAAGAGTTACTAGATCTAATCCAGTTTTTGTTTGCGGTTTTCCTGTTACTTGCGATATTTGATACTCGAGGGCTGGTCTCGGCTGTCTTGTATTCTCTTCGTCTTCTTGTTCATCCTCGTCTTGCGTTGTATTTTTCCTTTTTTGCCCATTCGTTTTATTACGATTTTGTGTTTTTTTTCTTTGTTTGATTTCGTCCGGTTAGATTGTACTATCCCAGGGCGTCCGTGTAGACTCCAGCATTCATCTCGACCATGACCTGATTTTTTGCAGTAGCTGCAATGTTTTTCGAGTATATTTATTCTTGACTGTCCCTGTGGTTTCGGCAAAGAGAATCGGTTTGAATATCTGCTTGTTCGGCATTCTCGTCCGTGATGTCCTAGTTTTCCGCATTTATTGCATTGTGATACTTTATTTCGCGCTGCTTGCGAAATTGTATAATCGGGCTTATGTCGCGATGCGTGTTCTAATGGACCCTTGACTTTCTCTTCCGCATTGGCTCCTGCGATTGCTTCTTGAAGCGTTGAGTAATGCTGTGCTCGCACCACCAATTTGATATCGTCGTGGAGATCTATTTGGAAATTTTGCAGAGCTTGCTGTTGTATAGTTTCAAGTATAATGCGTTTTCGTTCGCTGCCGTAATCTTGGCCTTCGATCATGGATTCATATAATTCCATGGCCAAATTGTCGGCGCGAAGCCCGTATGCTCTGGCGTTCTCGCCGGCTTTTTGTTTTAAGGAGTTAAATTCAATTTGCAAGTGAGTAATGCTCTTCTTGCTTAAATAGCAGATTTCGAGTTCTCTTTTAAACTGTCCGAAACTGTTTATATTTCGCGTTTCAAAGTCTACCATAGCTTTT